CAGTGCTCCACGGGAGCCTCATCCTCACCCCGAGGAGAGGACCATGTGTCCTTCGGGCTCCTCAGGGCTTCTGAGTGCTGGCACATGGCTGAAGCCTCTACAGACTGTGGGGGACGAGCCCTGTCCCTTCACTGGTAGCTGCCATGACCTGTGGCAGTCTCTGGTCATTAAGAACACAAAACTAGCGAGAGCACTGGCCCAGGCCTGTGACCCCCCACTGCTCCGGTGGCTGAGACAGGAGGATCACAAGTTCAAGCACAGTGTGGACAACCTCTTGAGACCTTGTGTCAAAATAAAGAATAAAAGGGCTGGGGATGTAGCTCTGCGGCCTGGCCCTTGCCAGTGTGTGTGGTGCGGCAGAAAGCAGAAAGCTTCCAGGGCTGGGAGCCTCAGTCCCCCTTCTGCGAAAAGGACTAACATTACCCCCTGGAGCTGCTCTGAGAAGTAAACGCATAACTGGGCGTGATGACTCAGATCAACACCTGGCCCTTAGCAAGGCCATGAAGAGTTTGCTATTCAGATGCCCCGGAGCTCAGCCTCACTTTGACCCTGGCTGTGCGTCCTCAAGCCGGGACATAAACCTTTCTGAGCATTTCTTTGTATGCTAAACAGGCAATAATGCCTCTCTCCCATAAGAAAACAAACCATTGATACCTGCATAAATCTGGTGTGCAGGGACCCTGTCTTTACTGTCCCTTAGACCCTGATACGGGGCTCCGCCCTGGAAGACCTGGGTTGCAGGGAAAAACTTATCCCTCGCACACCCACCCTCCAGTGAGCCTCTTTCTGTTGCTGGCGGATAGCGGCATCTAGTGGACATATATGAAATTACAGCCTGGCCAAGGCCCTCGTCAAGCGGGCTGTCTAGCAGTCCCTCAAACACCTGCCCCACAGTGGGGACTGAACCCCAGGCCACACAGTGTGAAGGCAAGCACCCCACCAGTGAGCCATACCCCCAGTTCTTTTATGTTTTCTTTTCTTTTTTTTTTTTTTTTGTCTTTTTTTCCTTTTTATCGGTACCAGGGATTGAACTCAAGACTGCCTGCTTGCAAGGCAGGCGCTTATGCCGCTGAGCTAAATCTCCAGCATATGTTTTATTTTCTTTGAGACAGAGTCTTGCTATGTAACTCTAGCCAGCCTTGAATTCACTAGGTAACCCAGGCTGGCTTCAAAATCAGTGATCTTCCTGCCTTAGCCTCCCAGATGCTGGGATAACAGGTGTGTGCCACCAGCCAGGCTCCCAGGCCTAAATTTCATTTTGAAAAATCAAGGTGTGGTGGCACACACCTGTCATCCCAGTACTCAGAAGGCCGAGGCAGGATTGTTGTAAATTTGAGACCAGCCTAGGCTACAAAGTGCTCAAGGCCAGCCTGAACTGAAAGTGAGACTCTGGTCTCAAAGAGACAAAAAAAAAAAAAATTCATTTTGAGGGAGTTGTGGTATTGCACACCCATCATCCCAGCACTCGGGAGCCTGAGGCAGGAGGATCACCTGGAATTTGAGGCCAAGGTAGGCTACATAGTGAGACCATGTTTCCAAAGCTCACTAAATCAATCACTTTAAAAATACAGACTCTGGGGGCTGGGGATTTAGCTCAGTGGCATAAGTGCCTGCCTTGCAAGTGTGCGCTTGTGAGTTCGATCCCTGGGACCGATAAAAATGAAAAAAGACAAAAAAAAAAATACAGACTCTGCTTTGGGTGAGCATTCATTAGCTGCCTGCTGTACACAGGTCACTGAGCCAAAAGCTGGAAAACAAAAGCAGGGGCACAGGATGACTGTGGAGGGGAGCAAGGGGGAAAACCACAAATCATCATAACCTCGGGCCATTGCTTAAGGGTTTTTATCCTAAATTATTTAAGGAAAGTGTGAACATGGTGTAGGGGGGACTGGCACCCTGGGGACTTTTTTCACGTATGCAGAGATTCTGTGGTGTTAGTGCTGGGAGGGGAAAGCGCAGATGAAGATTCCCCCAGGAGTCCCCGGGCCCAGGGCCCCTGCTATGCACCCCGAAAGCCTCCTGGTTAGAAGTGTTGTGGGTCATACTCACCTGGGGAGTCAGAGAGGACTCCATGGAGGAGGGGAGGCAGTATTTCAACCAGCCTTGGAGCACAGAGCCTGCCGGGGTGGTGGCCAGGGCATACTGTACAGTAGACCATGTTGTGCACAAAGCCATAAAAAGCAGGTGAGACTGGACAGAAGGGCAAAGGCCAAAGCATAAAGGACCCACAGTCAGGCTAAGCAGCTGTGCCTGTTAAAGGTGGCCCCTGTGTAAGACAGAAATGATGGAATCTGAGCAGAGGAGACCCCAGGATCAGGCTGGTAGCCAAGGTGGCGGTCCAGGCTGAAGAGGGGAAATGAACCAGTTGAGGTGAGGATGGACAGAGGGTACAAGAGATGGAGTTGCAGAAGCAGGGGGAGGTTTGGGAGTGGGCGGCTGCTGCTCAAGTCAGGGGACACCGCTGGGAATTCTGGGACACTGAGTCTTGGGAAGGTAACCAGGGAGGAGGGTAGGCCTGTCCGCAGGCTGACCTAGAACTCAGGTGATCCTCCTGCCTCAGGCTCCTGTGCTGGGGTGACAGGTGTGTGCCCCACACACTGCTTCCCTTCCTCATTTTAAAGCCTCCTGAGGCCTGAGGGGAAGAGAGAGGAACCGAACCAGGACCTTTGCTGACAGAATCAGGCAGCCTCATCAGTGTCCAGCATCCAGCCCTGGCAAAGCTGGGGCAGGGCTGCAGCCACTCGGCCATGAGTGTGGCTGGCTGTGCTGCCTGGAGGCAGCAGCTGCCTCAGGGTACAGGGGTCTGAAAAACTGGGTCAGGAAGTGCCAAGCGGGGCCATCAGAGACCCTGAGAGGAAAGGACACAGAACAGAGGAACCTGGAGGGAAAGGAAAGGAGGTGACAAGAAGGGGACTGAGCGCCCCAGAGAGGCTAACTCTCTTCCTTCCAGAGGGGAGGGAAGCTAGGACCATGGCAGTCAGCTAGAGCCCAGCCTGGGAGCCAGTGTGTGGGCACCAGAGGCCCCTGGGCCCTAGAAATCGGGCTCCTCCACTGCTCTGGAGCCTGGGGATGGGTGGGAGAGGCAGCTCAGTGTCCCACTGTCCCCTCCCCAATGCTGCTCCCTTAGGACTTGTGATGACCCCATCCTCCCCAAGAAGGTCCAGGCCAGTCTCTCCTTTCTGAGTTGGGGATGTGACTTGGTGGCAGAGTTCTATTTATTATTGATTTTTAGTGGTAGAGTTCTTGCCTTGCACGCACAAGGCCCTGGGTTGAATCCCCAGAAGAGAAAGAGAGAGAGAGAGAGAGAAAGAAAGAAAGAAAGAAAGAAAGAAAGAAAGAAAGAAAGAAAGAAAGAAAGAGGGAAGGGGGAAGGGGAAAGGAGGGGGGAGGGAGAAAAGGAAGGAAGGAAGGAAGGAAGGAAGGAAGGAAGGAAGGAAGGAAGGAAAGAAAGAAAGGTCTCTGCTTTCTGGGACTTCAGTTTCCATCCTGAGGCCCAGGAAAACCCAGCTGACCAGCACCACAGAAAGAAAAGCAGGAGTTTCTGTAGCTTCCCGGTCTAGTCTGACCTCTAGCCCTCCAGGCTCTGCAGACCTGCCTTAAAGTGAAGAGCCGTCTAGTGCTGGGGCATGGTGGCAACAGGAGGCTGAGGCTGAGTCTGCAGCCCCAGGAGTTCAAGGCCAGCCTGGACTACACATCGAGACCCTGTTGCAGACCACCACCCCACACACAAAAAGAAAAAAAAAAAAGCTGGCGTGACTGGTTAAAGCAGCCCTAGGACAAGAACTCTGCTCCCAGATGGCCAACCAGGAAGTGCCTGGAGGGCCCCACCCTGCCCCCCTGGGAAGAAACCTCAGTCCACAGGACAGCAGCTCCAGGTCTGACCAAAAGGTGTGGTTTTTAACTCACCGTGGCCCCTTCCAGGTTGCAGGTTAACCCTTTCCCAGGCCAGGGGAGCCCTGGAAAGAGTGGGAGCCTCAGGAGCCCGCACCCTCCTGCCCTCCCTCACCCAGGGCTCCAGGGCGACCAAAGTGAAGCCCACAGCACTGGAAGCAAGGATTAAGAAGCGGGGGTTGGGGATGGGTGGGGGGGTCTGCCTTTGCCAGCTCCTCCCCAGAGCCTCACCCCCTCTTCAGAGTGGACCTTTCTCCCTGCACCCCAAGCCTGCCTCCCCCTACAAGTATCTCCACTCTTAGGGGGCAGATAAGCCGGGACCCCAGGCCCAAGAGAAGGGAGTTTCATCCATTCCAGAGGCTATGCCTGTGCGCAGCTGGAGGGGACCGCAGGGTTCACAAAGGCCAGAGGCTGAGAGCAGCTGCCCCCCTAGGCGGTCCTCTCCCCTCCCCCAGGCAAGGGGGAAAAAACCTGAAGGCAGGCAGTTTTGAAAACAAACAACTTTTTTGTGGTGCAAAATAGTTTTCCAAGACTCTGCTCTATACAAACAACTTTCTATAAAGCATCCTCACAGAAAAGGACGGGAGCCTTCCCCAGGGTCGCAGTGGGAAATGCCTCCCCCTCCCATCCCAGGGGAAGAGAGGTGCGTTCACTAGTGCAGTGCGGCTCCAAGGGTCACTGGGTCCCTCCAGAGTAGGGCAACCTGACTGATGCTCCCCCAGCAGGGGTGCTCACCTTGGCCTGGGCCAAGGAAAGGCAGTCACCCTGGGGACTCCAGGGACCCTCCCAGCCGGGTGTGGCTCTCCTTGCCAGCAAGCAGGGACCTCTGACCCCCAGCCTAATCCTCAGCTCTGTTGCCTCAATCAGGCCCTGACAATCCAAGGTGCCTGGGGCTGGGGAGGGAGCTGAGGGTCTCACTGGCCTGGTCTCCTCCACACCAAACCCTGCGCTTGGAACTCCAGGCCAGCCCTTTCTGTGACCCCTCTGCAGGGAGTGGCTGATTTGTCACCACCGGTCAGGGGAAAGAATCTGTGTGTCCAAAGAAAGGATTCAGGCCTGCCCTCAACCCCATCCCCTCCTGAATCCGCCAGAGGACCTCGAGAGGCGACTCATTTGGTCTGAATTTATTGATTTCTTCCACCTTCCATTACTTTCCCTGGGACAGTCTCCTGCCCTGTCCACAGGCAGTCTGCTGGAGACATGACAGGGTCCCTGGGCCCTGTCCCCCTTAAGTGTGCAGTAAGCTGGGGCAGGGGCAAGTTAGGTTATCAAGGTGGGGGATTCTCTTCCACCCAGCAAACATACGAACTGAAAGCAAATAGAAAATTGGGGGTAACGGGGACCTCCAAAACTGGGCAAAAAAGGAAAAATTCGTTGCTGAGACTGCAGCTCTCACTAATCGGGAAGTCACCTGAACTTGGGGGACCTAGAAGGGCACAGGAGTGAGTGACCAGGCCCCTTCCTCCAGCAGGGCTCCCTAAAGCCTGCGGGTAGCCAAGGGTTAAAGGTTGGGAGGTGGGGTGGAGCCCCCCACGGAGCTGCCAATCACCCTCGAGGGCCCCTCCAAGGCCCCCATTCCCTAGGCTCGTCCTGGGACGAAGAAACAACCGGTTTGTCCATCACCAAGATCTCTCTAGCTCCCTTTTTGGGGTTCGGGAGCGGTGGCCTCCTTGGCTACAACCCAGAGCACCGGGGTGGGGGAGGAGGGCAGAAATTCGCATCAATCCACTGTCCCCCAACTGTGGCCCTCGTCTCCTCCGCAGAGATAAGCTGGACGGAAGTCTGCAGCGTTCGCGGATCAGTCACTCGAGTTCCCGTGCCCGCGGATCAGAAAGAGTCAAGAACAGGCAGAAGTGGGAAGCCAGGCTCTGTTCTCCGAGCACGGCGTCCTCAGCTGTCTTCCGTAGCAGCAGAGATGTCCCCGCTCACAGTTCTTCCAGGTTGGCCCCCCAAAACTTGCAACCGGGGGGCTCCGGCACCGCGGGGCCACCTACCTGCCACCGCCACACCGGGTGGGCGGGCGGGGGCCGGGTGTTGCCTTGCAGACGCAGCGAGGCGGCGGGCCGCAGGTCCCCGTCGTCATCTACCACCAGGGCAGGCGTGCAAGGGAAGCAGCTGAGCAGGCTGAAGGTGCCGGCTGCGGGCAGCACGGGCGCGGGGCGGCGGGGCGGCGCGCGCGCCGGGGGCGGCAGTCGCGGAGCGGGCGTAGGGCGGCGGCGCTTCTTGCTGGCGCCTTTGGCCGGGGCCTTCGCGGGTAGCCGCTCGGGACCGCGGCGCAGGCTCGGTGTGTCCACGGCGAAGCCCTTGGCGTAGCACCAGAGTTTGGAACGGCGGATGAGGCGGTCGAAGTGTTCCTGGCGGAGGTCGCTGGGCGCGGCCGTCGAAGGGTCTCCAGCGGGTGCCTCGGGCGGGGGGCGTCCGTCTTGCTCCGGTGGTGAAGGCGCGGGACCCGCAGGTGGCGGCGGGCTGGAAGTGGGACGAGGCTGGGACTCGAGGCCCAGGGTCGGCGCGGGCGGAGCCTCCTGAGGACACCGGGACTCGGGGCAGCGGGCAGGAGGTGCGTCGCGGCCTCCGCCCTCTTCCTCCCTCCCGTCGCCGGGGCGCGGGGCGGCGTCCGCATCCTCCGGGGCCGGAGGGCTCGGGGCTCGGGGCTGCGCGGGCAGCTTCAGGCCGTCCGGGTCACCGTCGCCGGGGCACGGCGAGGTTCGGGGACCCAGGCCCTGGGAAGGCGCGCGCGGCTTGGCGAGGGCGCAGAAGGCCAGGGCACGCAGGCACAGCGGTGAGAACTCCTGGGTCCCCCGGCCTGGCTTCCGGGGCGATGGGGCACACGGAGACCCCCGCGGAGACGACGGCACCGCCAGGCGCGAAGCGGGGCAGAGAGTCTCCATAGCGGCGCCCGGCGCGGAGGCCCGGGGCCCAGCGGCGCGGTGCCCCGGCTGCGCGCAGAGCCCACGGGAGAGGGGAACATCGCCCCCCTCGAAGGGGAGGCCTTGACTCGCGGGCGCCGCCGGCCCCCGGCCCCTCCCGGCCCTCGTCACGCGGCACCGGCGGCGGCCGGACTCCTGGGTCCCCGCGGTCCCCGCGCTTCCTGCCGCCGCCTTCCCTGCGCGTTGCGGTCCGGCGCCCCCTCTCGAGCGGCCCGGAGCGCCCGGGGCGGGGCCAACGAAACGACCGGCGACCGCGGGAGGCGGGAAGGACCCCGGCCCAGTACCCGATGCCGGGGCCCAGGCAGCGGGGAAGGCGCCTTCCGCCCGCTCGGCTTCTTTCTTCCCCGCTGGCTCGGCAGACCGCGTTATAGAGAACTGCCCCCTCGCTGCCCCAATACCAGCGCCGCCGCCGTGAGCCCGCCGCTGATTGGGCCGCAAACCCGTGACGTCACAGGCCCCGCCCCGGCCCCGCCCCCAGCCCCATTCGGCACACAGACACACACACGTGGACCCGGCGAGGCGGCTTGCTGCCGCGGGGGAGGCGAGGGGCGGGCGCGGGTGGCACCGCGAGGCCCGGAGCCGCCGCCGCACGTGGCCAGGTGGCCTGTCGGCTTGTGCTGGTGCGGAACAGCCTGCGTTTTTTCCCCCTGTAGCGCCTGCAGCTGCCGCATCTGTAAAATGGGAGCGTTCCTGTGCACCCGCAGGACGCAAGGAGACACGTGAGTCAGCAGAGCGAGCCTCCCACCACGTGCGCCGGAGAAGGGAGCAGAGCCCGGCCCGGCGCGGTGGCGCGGCTGTCATCCTTTCGTTCCCGCGGCTGAGACCGGAGGGCTGCGAGCTCAAGCCCAGTCTGAGCAATAGAGCGGCTTAGTGAGACCCCGTCGCAAAATAAAATATGGCGGGGAGGGGGGAACCTGGGGTGTAGGGCAGTGTGAAGACCCCGATTTACCGGGGTCTGGCACGAACCCTCGGGACTGTGCCCTGCGAGCTCTGAGCTGCCCGGATGGGCTGAAGAAGCCGGAGGAGGGGGACACACAGGCCCTGATACTCAACTGCCCAGAGAGGAAAACAGAAAAAAAAAGATTCTCCCCACAAAACAGCAATCCATGCTTCTAGCCTGTCAGGCTTTATCCCCTGCAGGGTTTACTGGGTGTTTTGTTTTGAGACAGGGTCTCCCTATGCAGTTCAAACTAACCTTGAACTCACAGTGTAGCCCAGGGTAGCCTCGAACTTGCACAGTCCTCATGCCTCAGCCTCCCAAGAACTGGGATTGCAGATATGCACCATCTGCCTGGCCTTGTGTAGCTGACTATTATACATCAGTCTGTGAGTGTGTCATTCTTCAAGTTATGTGACAGGCTGTGTGTCATTTCTAGTGCTGGTCCCTCTCATTATCCTGGAATTGAGCGGATACCTTGACTGGCCCAACAAGAAGAAAACTTTGTTCTGATCCCTGCTGCATTCCACAGAAGTGTCCACAGACTTAGCAGGTGTCAGGAGATATTCATGAATAAAGAAATGAGTGACAGAAGGCTGGGTGTGGTGGTGTATGCTTGAAATCCCAGCCTTTGGGAGGCTGAGGAAGGAGGATCGCCATTAGTGAGACCCTGTCTCTAAAAGAAAAAAGAATATAGTGAGTGATGAAAGTATGTCTGGAATATATCTCTCTTGATAAAGATCAGGTTGTAGCAAAGCACAATGGTAGGAGCCTGTAACTTCAAGCCAGACCTCAACAATGTAGGGCATTTTTGTGTCAAAAAATAAAAGAGTGAGGGGATGCAGCTCAATGGGAGGCCCTAGGCTCAGTCCCAAGTTTACATAAAGAAATAAATAGGAGCTAGGCATGGTGGTGCATTCCTGTAATCCTAGCACTCAGGAGGCTGAGGCAGGAGGATCGTTGTAAGTTCGAGACCAGCCTGGGCTACAAAGTGAGTTTAAGGCCAGTCTGAACTGCATAGACAGACCCTGTCTCAAAAAGACAAAAAATAAATAAATAAAATAAAAGAACTCAAGCTGCTGGAATATGACTGTTCCCAACTGTGGAAAAACAGACTCTTAAGAAGCATTCGAGGGGCCAGAGAAAAATACCTTGTTCTAGGGCCAGGGCATCTTGCCGGGCTTGGTGACCCACCTGTAATCCCAACACTCAGGAGGCTAAGACAAGAGGATCGCTGTGAGTTGGAGGCCAGCTTGGGATACACAGCAAGACTTTACTTCAAAAAGTCAAGAAAAAAAAGGGGGCTTCTCTAAGGGGACAGTGGTGTGGCTGTGGCCATTTCCTGGGCATCCCAGGGCACTGTTTCCCTATGTGATATCAAGTTGTGTCTGGGTGAACAGGGATAAAAAGGGTGCCTCCCCCTGCAGAGGCAAAGAGGTGAAAGCCTGAGGTGGGGCGGCAAGGTTGGTAGTGGGGCACTCTGTCCCTCACACTCCCCATGTCTTCTTCAGCAGAGTCTCCAGGCAGCTGTCCTAAGGGCAGTCACAGGGGTCCCTTCGGGTGACCTCTCTAGGCTGAGTCTGGCCCCAGGTTCCTGATGGGCCCCCCAGCGCTGTGCCACCCAACACTTGGCCCAGGGGGTGTGGGGGAGCCGTTGGGGCTGAGGACAGTGCTGGGACACCAGTGCCGGGTTTCTGTTGCTTTTGTGACAAGCTCTTGTCTGCACCCGCTGCGCTTGGCCTTAGGGCTTCAGCACCTGGAACTTGGACTGCAAAGAAATTTTTTTTCTTTTTCTTTCTTCTCTGCCTGTGAGAGTTTCCGTTTTCCAGGCAGGATCTTGCTATGTGGTCCGGACTCCCATGACCTGGGGCTATCGAGGCACCTTTTTCAGAGGGGTTGGACTAGAGAGCAGCCATGCAGATCCCCTTTTAGTTTCCGTGTCGCCCTCCACGAGGAGGGGCAGCCGCAGCTTCCCGGCGACAGTGTCAGGCAGGTGAGGCCGGCGGTGGTCACCTTTGCCTAGGCTGGCTGAGCCGCTGCTGCAATTCCCGCCGCATGCAGTAGGGGGCACACGACCCTTCAGCCGAAGCTGGGGTCGCCTCCCACTTCCCCCGGTAGTAAGGAGGGACCGATTGCAGCAGGGGTCCCCCCGCCCCAGCATTAGGAAGCGGCAAAGGCCCCGGGGACCTGGCGCTTCCTCGAGCCTGGAGTGCCGCACGCTGCGCCGCAGAAACCAGTGCCGTCCCGCTTCGCCCCCCCCCCGCCCCGCCCTCCAAGGGGCCGAAGGGTCTCTGTGCACCACCCCAGCTCCGCTCTGGAACTCTGAGCATCTGATCCCTTAACTGTCCTATGAGTTACCGCACACCCACAGTCCTGGGGGTGAACCCAGGGCCTTTGCACTGAGTTACATTCCCAGCCCTTTTAAATTTTTATTCTTACTGAATTGCTCTGGCTGGGTTCGAATTTGAGATCCTCCTGCCTCAGCCTCCTAACGATTACAAACATGTGCCACCGTGCTACTTTAACGTACTGTTTATTAGAAAGTAGTAAAAAAAAAATGAAGTATCATAGTTAACCCAGTTTCCAGTTTCCTACATTTACAGAGTTGTTCAACCATTTTAATAATCCAGTTTTAGAACATTGCTTGTGAAATCCTCATCCCTGTCCACTGCCGTGCGGAAGTCCCTGGCCCCATGCCCATCCCCAGGGGTGCTGACCCACTTTCTACTTCCAAGCATCGCCCTAGTCCTGCACACGGGAGCCCACCGTGCGCAGTTCTGTGCATCTGACTTATTTCTCACAAGCTTTCCCGCTTGTTCTGCCGTGGATTAGGAGTTTGTGTCCCCGCCCCCTATGATTTGTGATGGTATTTTAATTTTTAAAACAGGTTTGTCTTTGAGGTTTTCTGCTGTCTTCTTAGAGCAGCCTGAGTATAAGGTGATAGCTGTCACAGGTATCATGTTCACTTTACCTGCCTGAAGAATTCCTTTGTAGTCAGAACATGGAAAAGGCAATTTTAAGAATTTTTTTTTTTTTTTTTTTGTCTTTTTCCTTTTTATCGGTACCGGGGATTGAACTCATGACTGCCTGCTTGCAAGGCAGGTGCTTACGCCGCTGAGCTAAATCCCCAGCCCCCATTTTTAAGATGGTTAAGACCCCAACTGCTCCTAGAATTCCACCCATCGTGACGTTTAAAAAATGAACAAGAGCCTGGCATGGTGGCACATGCCTGTAATCCCAGCACTCAGGAGGCTGAGGCAGGAGGATCGTTGTGAGTTGGAGACCAGCCTGGGCTACAAAGTGAGCTCAAGGCTGGCCGGAACTGCATAGTGAGACCTTGACCCAAAAAGACAAAAAAACTAAAAAAGAAAAACATGGGCAACAGGGCCAGGGATGTGGCTCAGTGGCTCAGTGGCACAGCACCTGCCTGGCAAGCGTGAGGTCTTGAGTTCAATTCCTGGAACCACAAAATAAAAATAAAAAAACTATGAAGAATACATGGGAAACATTGCTCCCAAATGTCCACAGCTCTTTCCTGAACTTTCCTACCCTCGGACACCTCACCCTCTGTGAGGATGGAGGCTCTGCTCTGAGAGCAGTTTCAGGTAATCTGCTAGATAAAGCATTTTCATCTACAGTGGTTTCCATGTTCCTGATAAGATACTGGCTGGTGGTCTGCAGTGAATTCACAGTTTTTTCTTTGGAGAGGTTGGGAAGGGTAAATAAAATGTGATTATCGCCAGGGGCCTGGCACATACCTGTAATTCCTGCATTCAGAAGGCGGAGGCAGGAGGATCATTGTGAGTTCCAATCCAGCCTGGGCTACAAAGTGAGCTCAAGGCCAGCCTGAGCTGCGGAGTGAGACCCTGCCTCAAAAACAGACAAAAAACAAAAACAAAACAAAAAAAAAACCCTAACCTGTTCTTTAGACCCTTCCCCATCATCTTTCAGTGTTGTCACATGCATTCTGATGCCATCTGGCGGGACTCTGGGAGGTGATGGCTCCACCTGGCCAGCAGCAGAACCAAGAGGAGCAGCCAGAATGCACACTGAGGGGTCTGGGCTTTCCATGTTGGCCAACCCTGGAGTTGTTCCTTTTCAAGGCTGGGAATGGTGGTGCATGCCTGTAATCCCAGCACTCGGGAGGCTGAGGCAGAAAGATCACTGAGAGTTTGAGGCCAGCCTGGGATACACAGCAAGACTTTGTCTCCAAAAAAAAAAAAAAAAAAAAGGTTGCTCCTTTTTATTGCTGACACACCCTCTTTTATGGGTCTATTGCCTTGTTTATTCATCCCATTTGAGTTGTTTTCTTTTTCCTTTTTTCTTTGGCACTGGGGATTGAACCCAAGGCCTTGCATTGAGCTACATCCCAGCATATTTTATTTTATTTATTTTGAGACAGGGTCTCACTATGCAGTTTAGGCTGGCCCGAACTCACTATGTAGCCCAGGCTGTCACTGAATTCACAGTGATCCTCCTGCCATTAGCCTCCGGAATGTTGGA